TAATTCCCATGAGGGTACACGATTGCAGCGCCAGATTGCTCTCTAAGTATTATTTTATGAAACTATTCTCCCCATCACTCTAGCTATGACTACGTGACGGTGAGCGGAAGCATGAGCGGAAGCCAACGGCGCTGGCATGGCATATGAACGTAAAGTTGAAACCGCGCAAGGAGCGCTTTACAGGTGCTGTAGGTGTGGCTCGTTCGGACCACAGGAATCGGCCGTAAAGCGCGGTTAGTGACGTGGTAAATTTACATGGACGGCGTATGACTGCGCGCTAGCACCATCGGTAACCCACATTCGCGTTGGGCCTGCAGTTCTGGCCAACGTTACTAAAAGTATCTAGTAACGTTGGTTCTGGCAGCCTAGCGTCGTTTTTTTTGGATGTCAAAACAATCATCACAGCGGGACTGCATTCTTCGGGGCTGTCTGCGACGATCACAACCTTGCACGGGAGTCACGCCGCTGGTTGTTTACAGCTTCGCCGCCCGTGAACGAACATCACACTCTGCCCTGACGGCGCTGCGAAAAACGCCACCACCAGCGCTCCCATTGCCACGGCGGCCAAAAATGGGTAGTGCACAGAGAGCCGTCCACAAGAGAACGTTGGTCTTGAGGCGTGGTTTCCTGAAAATTAAGGACCTGGCAAGCTTCTTTCAATGCAACCTCGCTTCATAAAAGTAGGAAGCATATGAAAACTAAATGTGGGCACATTGCAAAAGATGTTTTATTTATTTCGGCGTGCTGCAACGGGCAATATAAATGCAAGCAAGCATTGCATGACATCTAGTTCGAGGCAAGCATTCCGACGTGCGTTTTGTAATGCCTAAATGCAATAAACTTGGTCATATACATGGTGCGAAAATGAGGAAGTGCATACACGAACCATCTATGCGATCAGTGGCACGACGGGCCTTGGAAATTTTCGCTTTGCAGTCACATTCTATATCGATTTCTCGCTTCCTGTGCATTGAACTGCTTCATTACGTATGCTCGGATGCTCTGTTGACGGTTGTATTCCGTTTGTATATTCTGCAAATGGGAAGACATGCATGTCCACTTTCTCACTGTTCAATGAATGGCAAAACCGATGCCTCCGAGATAGCTCCGGTAATCATGGAGACCAATGGCAAAAAAAAGTGGTAGATTTCACGTACAATGGGAATCGATGATATGCGAAGCACAAATGAGAAATGTTGATATATATGTGACTTTAAAATCAGCTCAACGTTACGATGCGCAGGTTAATGATGCCGTAAATGACTTCCATGCCATGATTATCATGTTTGAATGAGTCGTTTACATTCGTTATCAATTAACGCCACTCGTGACACCAAACATATATGTGGAGCTAGCGAAACGGCCGCGAGCACGCTATGAGCGTGGTATGTTGTCATGTTCTAACATGGTGCACGTGTCAGGATTATCATGTTTGCAGCAATTAAAAATTTTGTCATCCATTGACGTCACGTAATACCAAATTCGGTATATGTGGAGCTAGCAAAACGGCTGCGAGCGCTTCATTAGTGGCCCAATATACACCAATGTAGCTTCGACACGCGCGCACGCTGGGCACAGCAACGCTACGTTAGACAAACTGCGAGCACTCTATAGTCGGACGTCAGGTGCGACCAGCGTCCGTCGGCGTGGTCCGACGGCAACCGGCACGAAATGCGACATGCTGCATTTCGCGCCGATGCCATAGAGTAACATTACTCTATGCCGATGCGTTAGCCAGACAACACTGCGTCTCCCTTTTTTCGTGATGGAGAACGCCGGATACGCTGAAACGCACATGCATCAAAGTAACGTAGCGTGGCACGCGCCTGTGAATATATGGCAGGACCGGCGCCTGGCGTGGCGACGGTGGTGTGACGCAACGAAGTGAACGCCGGCGAGCACGCGCACCACGTCACGCCGGAATGTATTAAAGCCTTGACTGTGGCATGTACTCATGTTCTCACAGGACACGCATCTCATGAATGTTATGGTCGCACCAGTCACATGCCTTCATCATCCATTGGCGTCAAGTATTACAAAAATGGCATATGTGAAGATAGCGAAATGGCCACGAGCGCATAGTGAGTCATGTTGTTACATGACACGCATATCGTGATTATCATGTTTGGATGTGTCATTTAACCTATGTCGTCCTTTCGCATCGCGTAATACCTTGTTTGGTACATGTGAAACTAGTGAAACGGCCACGAGCGCATCATAAGCGCAGCATGTAGTCATGTTGTTACATGACACGCATCTCATGTTTATCATGTTTGTACCGGTATCATAGCTTCGGCATCCATTCACGTCCCGTAATACTGAATTTGGTACAAGTTAAATTAACGAAATGGCCGCCAGCACATCAGGAGTGTGGCATGCCGCCATGTTACATGACACGCATCTCATTATTATAATGTTTGCATTAGTCACATACCTTCCTCATCCATTCATGTACCGTAATATCGAATTTGGTATATGTGATGCTAGCGAAACGACCTGCCCCGCCGCGGTGGACTAGTGGCTAAGGTACTCGGCTGCTGACCCGCAGGGCGCGGGTTCGAATCCCGGCTGCGGTGGCTGCATTTCCCATGGAGGCGGAAATGTTGTAGGCCCGTGCGCTCAGATTTGGGTGCACGTTAAAGAACCCCAAGTGGTCTAAATTTCCGGAGCCCTCCACTATGGCGTCTCTCATAATCATATGGTGGTGCTGGGACGGTAAACCCCACATATCAATCAATCAATAGCGAAACGACCGCGAGTGCATCTTGAGAGTGGCATGTAGTCATGTTACATGACACGCATGTCATGATAATCATGTTAGGCTTTGTTGCTTGTGTTCACCATGCCATTATGTCATACCATACTAGTTTTGCAACATGCCATGTGAACGAAACCACCGCAAGAGCTGCAGGACCATGAAATGTAAACCACGAAAGTCAGGATATACATATCATGATTTTCATGTTATGACTAGTAAATTATCTTCTTCATACAGTCATGTTAGGGTAAACCAAGTTTGGTTTCGATACCATTATCGAAACTGCCAGAAGTGTAAAAGTCGTAGATAGATAGATAGAAAAATAGATAGATAGATAGATAGATAGATATGCTCAATGTCACCGAAGTTCGCTAACATTAAGAAAAAAACTTGATTGTGGTGGTGATAATTTTGTGATTTACCTTTATGACGCACGTGTTCGAATTTCCTACTGAAAGCAGGGACATAGAGCCTTCAAAGCCTTATGTGCGTAATGCTGTGTGGTGGCGACAACTTCAGATGATCAATAGTCGTGACGTGTGCGACGCTCGAAGCACCCGGCGTCACCTCTACTGTTGGGCGTCCCGCACCACGGCCCGAGGGTCTGTTATCTTCATAATAAAATTTGGCACGGTTCTTCGTCAAGGCTACTCGAAACAATAGCAGGAGAGTTATTATCACACCTACTTAAGCGAACAGCTATGGAAAACGCAATTAATTCGCTTTCCATTTGTGTTCGCAACGGCCTGTACTTAGTGCTCTCGCCATTCTGCTTTGCGAAAGCTTCGAAAATCAGTGAAACCAAAGTCATTCACGTTCGTGGCAATTCACATCGGAACAGTAGCGCAGAATGGTGTTTTTTTTTGTAGAGCGTGGAGCTGTAGCGTCTGCTCTTGTTTTCACCGTCGTTCAGGCAATTAACCATCAAGCACTTCACAGCTGTTCGGTGTCGTGTCCGACTAGCGGCGAGAAATTCGTAGCTTTTTTTTCTTCGTGTTCAATGCGCAAATCCGTTTAATATTTCGCTCAATCGGTGTTTTGTGCGCTGTAGTTGCACCTGGTGTCACAGCAAACTGTGCAAGTATGGTGGCTAGATGGGTAGGTGTGCGGAAGAACGCACCATGGAGAGAGCGGACCTTCAGGATGCTGCAACGGCGCTACTGTCGGCACGGAGATGTGATGGAAATGCAAGACACGCGACCGGTTGCCTCGGCTGCGAAATAGCGAACTTCGCATGCTCTTTAATCAAGCCATCTACAGAAAAATTGTAAGATCAATAGCAGCGTGCATGTTGTACAGTTCATCTTCCAATAAATACACTTTCACGTCAACATTATACAAGGTAAAATTATAAGGTCACCTTCTTCTCCATGTGTTCGACAAAGGCGGAACCAGAGTGGTTAGAACCAACGTTGGTTTGAACCCTGTCGTAACTTTCTATTTCGCATGAGTATTTATGCACGCATGGGCCAGAGGCGTCGCTAGGAGGCGGCACACCCGGCCCTTGTCCCCCCCCCCCCCCAATTTTTTTTGGCATGAGATATGGAACACAAAATGACGCTCGACCACATTTGCCTGCCTTGCACCCACATCTATTAAGGAGGTGCTGCCTCTTTTGGCACAGACATTCATAAAGGGTGCTTAAACAACCCTCGCCCGGGAAAAAGTTTCTGCCTACACCACTGGTGTTAGACTAGCTGATTCTGTACATTAGGGCTGTTTCTTGAAAATAATATTATAATAGGGCGAGAACGACTTTTAGCGATTAAAGTGGTGAATGCATGAAATTCTCATAAAATTACATTCTGGCAAGGCTTGGCTGCCTTACCTTGCAAAATACACAACGAGCTACATGTTCACTTGGAAGAGTTCAGGACATGGTCATCCTTATTATCAACATTTATCCAAAATCTACCAATCTTTAGTAAAGTACAAGTACATAACACGAAAAAAATACAATTCACATAATGCACAAATCTTTAACTGATACAACTGGACTAATGGAGAAAAACATCACATGTATGAGGTAAGACTTCGCATTCGCAGTAAGGAATATTGAATGTTTCTGAGCAGCTGAATTCCTCCAGTCTTATAATACTGCGCTTGTGCCTGTCAAACTTGAGAATTCTTCGCGGCCAATTTACGTTACTTGACGTAAATGACACTCCCTGCCCCAGCAAAGTGGATCGAGTGTTGCTCTTTCTAGCAGCCATGTTTGGTATTGCTGGAGACATCCAAGCGATCATCGTGCACCTTTCTTGAGGCCGTCGCGCACTTTCCACAGCATGAGCTCCACGCAGGCGGCTGCATCTTCTTGGCTGTCGTGACCATCCACTGCGCACATTGAAAAGCATTGCGTCACCGCTTGGCAGAGCAAATTCAGCCACCTCATTAACGATGCTAAGTGCATGGTATGAGGGCAGCAATACAAATATACCACAATCAATTTAGGAATAAATGGCTGCTTCACACACGGCACACCCGCCCTTCACCTGTCAGGCAATCATGCTATTGGGCATTAACTCGAACCATAAGCATACTGCGGATAATTCACAATGCTGATAAGCAGAACCTATCAGCCACCGCGGGTCTCACAAGTCGGTCCAAACCGCCAGTCTCTTGACGGACTGGCATGTTGGACCATTTCAGAAAAACTGCCAGGGGGACCTCTTATGACGACATGTATGGGGCAATTACAAAAAAATACAGCAAAAACAATTACACACTATTACACTATTAGATAGATAAAGCTCTTTATTCAGTACAATACAGTGCTAGTAAAAAGTTGATATAAAACAGAAGGAGGTCCCAAAGTAAAAACTGTCAGGGGGACCTCCTGTGAATTCATGTATATAAAATATAGAACAAAGATTGGCAACTATGAAAAAAACAGCAAGCGAATAAAACAAAATGAACGTAATGAAAATGATTAGTGAAAATTATGGTAGTTCAAAATATTTACATGTAAGTGATGAAACAGGAGATAACTAATTGGATTAAATGACTATAACATAACACATACATATCATTGACTAATACATTGTCATTTCAGAACCTATACACGTACACATAAATGCATAAACCCTATTTAAACACACACACACACACAGACACACACACACACATATATATATATATATATATATATATATATATATATATATATATATATATATATATATATATATATATATATATATATATATATATATATATATATATATATATATATATATATATATATATATATATAAAATAAAAATAAATAAATAAATATATATATATATATACATATATATATATATACATACATATATATATATTCAGGTGTCGCATGTTGTTAGTAAAAGCTGTTTTAGATGCCACCGGAAACAATGTAATGAGGGGCTTGATTTAATAATTGATAATAGTGAGTTCCGGAAAAAAATTGCAGAAAACAAGGCTGTCATTTTGCCGTAGTTAGTACTTACTTTTGGAAGCAGAAGGTTACTATTTTCAGAAAACAGTGTGTTATTAGTATTTTGGAGATGTGTGAGGGGAAGTATGTCAGTGGCAATGTCACCGACTCTACTTCTAAATAATAAAATTCCAAGTTTGAGTTGAAAGGTGGAAATTAACGGTAGAATTTCGAGAGTGCTAAAGAGGGGTGCTGCTGATGTTGTGTAGGAACTATGTGTGATAATTCGGACTGCTTTTTTCTGAAGTGAATGAGAGATGTTAGGTGTGTAGCATAGGTATTGGCCCATGATGAAATGCAGTAGGTTAGGTGAATCCTAATGAAAGCATAATAAAGTGATTTTAAATTGTGTTGCTGAAAACAATGCCTTGTGCGAATGAGTATGCGGATGCCAAAAGCAGTCTTCTTGACGACAGAATTCACGTGAATGTTATATTTGAGTTGAGGGTCTAATGTGACACCTAGAAATGTAGTGAACTTTGATGGGGTGATGACGCAGTTATCAATGTATATCTCGGGTGAAATCGTAACGCTTTTTTGGGACGAGTGAAATAACATGAAAGTTGTTTTAACAGGGTTGATTTTCAATAAGTTATTTTTGCACCATGAAACAAGTTTCGCGACATCAGTGTTAAACTTTGCTAGTACATTGTTAAGATCTTTGTCACTAGAAAATATCGTGGTATCATGAGCATAAAGGATGCAGTCAGATGAGTTCAGTGATGATGGTAAGTCGTTCATGTAGATACGAAACATGAGAGGTCCCAGAATTGAGCCTTGTGGGACTCCCTGGTTAGTTATTATTGGTCAGGATAAAACACCGCCATAATTGACAACCTGGGTTTTGTTAGCGAGGTAGCTTTGTAAAAGGGTTAAAGTAGGCCCACAAATTCCCAAGGAATTAAGTTTAGCATACAAAGTAGAGTGGTTTAGAGTGTCGAAGGCTTTAGTTAAATCTATAAATAACCACCCTGCCCAGAGCCCCTTATCGATGGACTGTTTTATGCTATCTGTTAGTTTAATCAATGCATGATAACTCTAGATAAAACATGATAACTCTACTGATAAAATTAATCAATAAAATAAGTTGCTATAGAATAAAATCAATAAATTGCTATTGATTAAAATAATCAATAGCAGGAGATAAAACTAGAACAAAGAAAGATTGCTTGATTGAACAAAGAAATATTAAAGCACTGTACATGACAAATGCAACTAGTGTCACATGATGATGCCACTACATGACATCATCATGACACCTCAAATCACCAAATTTTTTAGCATGATCATGACGTCACTGTGACGTAGAGTAACGTGATGACGTCTTCACATGGAATCGTAGCATGGTCAAGAGTGGTCGGATCTCAGAGGCAATGCAGCACCAGGTGTGGTGCCTCTGATCTTGGAAGCAGAGCCAAACCATGTTGAATGCAGAAAGCTTTCATAGGATGGCATGGCAGGATCAATAAATAAATTGACCAACTAAAAAAAGAGGATGGCTTTTGCCTTTGATTCGTCTTAACTGACTGCACAAGGTACCCAGTGGGTTTTGTTTTAACCAAGCACATAAGCTCTAAAGCTGTCGATCACCTCCATTCTGGATGATCTTGCTCAGGTGTTTGGCCATGAGGCTACGCAGGGCTCGTTTGTAAGGGAGTCCCCGTCGGTGGGGGAACATGGCGGCCGTGTCGACGACGGTCTCGTGAATCAGCCGCAGGGCGCGCAAGTCCGAGTCGAGAGTGTGGCCCAAGAGGATTGTGTCGGCCGAAAAACGGGCCAGCAGGGCAGCCTGGACATCCCTTAGGTTCGTCTTCACGCCCACCATGTCCTCTTCTGTCAGGCCGCTGAACCTGCATTACACCCGGGCGACAAAACAGCATAAAGCAGTGCAGTCAGCATAGTAGCTATCAAAGTGCGAGCACTCGAATAATATCACTGCAGCAAGCATAATAAAGAAACAGAAGGCAAAGACAACTTTTGCGTCATGCATAAACAATACTTCACAACAATTAGCGATTTTCCCGCCGAATATGCACATATGCATCGGCAGACTTGAAAAACTGAAACTTACAAGTGACATGCTGTTCAATGAATAAACATAACTAATTAGCATTACCTCTCCAAGAACACTATTTTTCTTGAAGCATTCCAAAGCTCATGTAACAAATTAATAAACCAACCGGAAAGCTTGAAAGGCTGGACGGTCGACTAGAAGAAATGATTGCGGGCTACAGTAAGCTTGGTTAATTTCCCCCTAAAATAATGAAGTCAGTCACACTGTGCAAGGTGATCCTTTGATGTCACCAAGCATGTGCATAGCTTATTGGTATTTAACGCTCCCCAGTTTATTAGGCGGCAGATAGTCAGAACATGCTGACCGTAAGACACAGCAAACCCACAATGCATGAAAGCTAATATGGTGCTACCGTCGAATTGAAACAAAGCGGCAACATCCCTATCGCCTTAGTTTACAGAGGAAACTATACAGAGAAACAGGAGCATCAGAGTGTTTCCCCCAAAAACAGGAGCTGCAGAGTACAGCACAATGACAGTGCTTGTGCCTTCACAACGGCATTTTCACCATAGCCTACTGCATCCTTAGCAACTCTGAAGTGATTGCAGCAAACGACAGTCTTGTTTTGCCACAGTGGATGTATGTTTCTTGTGTTCTTCAAGAGCTGCACAAGTGCCATCTATAAATCTATCAATAGTGACCAATGTTTCATCCAGAACGACTGCAGTAAACAGCTGTTTCATTCCTGCTCAACGTGAGCTGTTTCAAATGTGCAGTCATCATCCATGGTCGCCAGCTTTCCCAGAAATGCAGCGAACAGCAGTTTGAGTTTTCTTTTGACTTGCTGTGAATCGCCTCTAAACAGTGATCAAGTTGAACGCGACCATCAGTTCCCCTGGAAAAAATTCATTTCAAATCGGTGCCATGAAGGCACAATATCATGAGCATGGTCGGAGCAGTTGAACTACCACTCACATTTCTTTGGTATCAAATTCATCAGCAACATCATGATGTGTGTCATAACTGTTTCAAGTCAATGCAGTAGTTACAAAATAATTGATGTTATAAGCAGATGATAGCCGTTTTAATGATAGTCTGAAAAATTCATCCTGAGTAAGGACAGGAACATTTCTCAATTCATTTGGTAAATAAGTGCATGCGTACTAAGCACCTAATTGGTTTTCTAGATGACCTCAATTATTAAGCAATTCTTAAGAAATGAAGCTTTTTTTAATCCTGTAAAAATTGACACCATCAAATTTCATTGCGTGCACATCGCGCACAAAAGAGGTCGGTTAGGTGGCCAGGGTCACCAATAGCGAGCTGTACAACACACTCACCGCGTGTTGTAGTGCAGAATCTGTCCCCGCGGCTTTACGAGCTTCTCGTAGACGGGCCTCAGGTCCCAGCCGAACACCGTGACTCGTGTGAACTCCACTCCTTCGGACGTGTAGCACTGCACAGCATGAAAAAAAAGAAAGAATAGGAATTTCGAAGGCAAAACCTCGTGTGCTGGCGCTTTGTTCCCCGAGGACTGTTAGATGACTGAATGCTTGTGAAACTAAGAGCATTACAGTAGTCGATCCTGGATGTATCAAACTCAAAGAGATCGCAAATAGTTCGATATATCGATGCTTCATATAAGAATTATGTGTTTTTGAGACTTATATTAATGTATTACAATTCTTAAAACGGCTTTCAGAAATCGTAATAAGCAATAATGTGACGATTTGCTCGCAGTATGCTTAAAAAAAGGTGACAACTTCTTTTTGCAAGTTGTTGCACTTCTTCGCGTGACAAAGTCTGCAAACTTGTTTTTACTTGCACGCCGCGAAGTTCACCAAGTCGTTATCATTAATCGAGCATTAAGGCTTTAAAACTAACCTAATTCAGCGCCTTGGCCTACAAGCACGGTGATTACCGGTGAACACTTTTACAAGCTACGTAGCATAGTAAAATGCTGTTTAGCACGGAGCTGTAATGACTCATAACAGCACGGGACCACTTTCACAGCACTGACAAAGCCAGCCATGATATCAGCATCGATGCACTCAGAAACAGCGACATCGTCATCTGCACCGATGAAGTCTCTTTCTGTACTCCCGTGTGATATAGCGCCCGGCAATGCTAACAATTTGCAAAACTGACTAAGGCACTATACCTTGTTGTCAGCAGTGATAGCACACCCGAAGTCGTCACCTGACACTGAAGCACGCAAAAAACTGTGCGCGACGGCAGTTTGCTTGATGTTGTTCCAAGCACCAGCCATCATTGTTATCGGTACGAGCAATTCAATCTATGGTTCGACTCCAGAAAAATGATTCAGCAAGAACGAAGCGAGTACTACAGAAGTTGACAAGCCTTAATTGACAGCGCTGTCCATCCTATCCACAAACAGATGTCGATGACACAAGGGGCGTTGTAAGTAGCGGAAAGCGAAAAGCAAGAAAAAGTGCATCCTCTGAGAGGTGTACTTTATAACTGAAAACGCCGAAAACACGTCATAAGGTTGCGGATCTTGAAGGCCATGCTTTTTGGGCCTGTATAGCATTGTGCACGAACAAGGAAGAAAGGGAATGTGAACACTGCAACAAGGCCAATAAGTCACTTTGCATTCATCTATATAGCGCCCGGGAATGCTAACACGCCACGTGGGGGCACGCTACCGCTGCGAGCATGGCCTTAAAATTGTCGTTCTTCGTGCAGCTACTCCTGTCATGGTCAGCCACCTTGCCCTTAAACCTACTCAACACCAAAGCATGCCCGTTAGGCCTCGTCCCACAGCCGACAAGGCCCGTCTTCGAATCTGTCAACGCGGACACCTGCAAGAACTTTTGGCCCTTCCCGCTGATTCTGGACTCACCCTGCTAACTGGTCTGGCAGCCACAAGCCACAATTGGCGCGGTGGATTTATCTACCCGACTACAAAAGCCCTCCTCCCTCCGTAGCCAGTTGGAGCACGCTACCGCTGCGAGCATGGCCTTCAAATTGTCGTTCTTCATGCAGGTTGGTTAGGTACCCCGCGCCTTGTGTATTCGTTCAAACGATCCTTTTTTGTTAGCGGTGTCGTGCCCCACTTAAGTGCTTGACTTCTGCCGCAAAACTGTGTATGAATCCCTTTTTGAATACTGTGCAACGTGCCGCTTTATCGGTCTACTTCTAATTCTGTCGGGTGATGTTGAGATGAACCCGGGACCCCCGGAAACTTTAGAAAGCCTTGCAGAAAAGGTATCTTGCTTAGAACTTACTCAATCTACCATTCGGGATGAACTTGCATCTATCCGCTTGGCTCACGCTAACACCGAAAATCTTGTCGGCAACCTCTCGTCGCGTCTAGATGAGGTTGAAAAAAAATTCGACATAAACCAGTGCAAAAGCCCACCTCCCGAACCACCCCCCACCCCCCTTCCTCCGAAATTGCTTCTCTTTCTTCTGAGGTAAAACAACTCGCTGACAAATGTGATGACGCTGAAAACCGCCTACGCCGATCGAATCTATTGTTTTTCCGAATTAAAGACGAAAACACAGAAACTTGGGCCGAATCTGAAGCAAAAATAATTTTTTTTGCGCCACGAACTTTGAAATAATCATCACCGACGCAGCTTTAGAGCGTGCGCACCGGCTCGGTCGCTACTGCGTCGACAAAATGCGCCCAATTATCGTTAAGTTTGCGCACTTCAAAGATAAATCTAGAATCCTGTGGTCTTCTCGGAAACTCAAAGAAACAACCTTCTTTATACGGGAAGACTATTCAGCACGCGTGCGCCTCGCAAGGCAAAAGTTATACGCTTTTGGGCAGCAAAGTAACACAACCTTTAAAATCCGCTTTTACAAACTGACAATTGATAAGAAACAATACACCTACGATGCAATGACCGATTACGTTGTTGAACTAACCACATAGCAATTTCCACGTGCCCACAAGTCCGCTCTCTCTCATGCTAACGTTCCAAGCAAGCCCTTCACAGCCATTTCAGCTTTCCATAACGCAACTGTAATGCTTACTAACGTCCGGAGCTACCTGCCGAAAAGAGAAACCGTTGAAGCTCTACTGGAAGATAGCAGTACCGATCTCGCGATATTTACTGAATCTTGGCTTAACTAGGACATTCAGGATAACGAACTACTTTCCGCAAAATCTTCATACTGTATTCACAGGCAATATAGGCTGGGGCGTCGGGGAGGCGGGGTTGTGGCGCTTGTAAAGCCTAGTTTGCCTTCCTCCAGAATTGATGCAGAATGCTGTCATGAAATCCTGTGCGTAAATCTAACTTTTCCAACCAGTAAAACAGTACTAATCGCATGTTATCGAGCCCCCTACTCTGACGATAATTTTACACATGAACTCTACTCTGTTGTTTTAGACCTAACTTCTCGCTTTTCCCGTTCGAACTTCTGGTTGTGTGGCGACTTCAATTTCCCAGACATTGATTGGGTTCACCTAGCTGCTCACTCACCCCTTTCAAGAAACTTTCTAGATCTGTGCCTTATGTTTAATTTTGCCCAAATGGTTACTATGCCCACTCGTGGTACCAACATACTCAATTTATTTTTGGTCTCAACTCCCGATCTTGTAAACGCAGTTCATGCTGTTACGACCGGCCCTAGGGAACCAAGCAAGAGGAGTTGCGGGGAGAACCGGTTCTTGACCGACTGTGTCGTCGACCCCCACCTCCCCATTCAGGCTCCCCCTCTCGCCGGGAGAATTCCGGAATCTGCTGTGCGTTCGTGACCATGTTTGAGCATTTTTTAGGGCGCCAGGAGCATATATGGACATCGTGTTAGGTTGTGCCACTCCATGTGTTGTGAGAGGTGTTTCCCCCTCCCTCGTGGCCGAGGTGCCGGGGCCACCGGATTGGCTGACGATGCGGACAATGCGCCCAGTGTCGACAACGCGGCGCTATAAAATGCCGAAGACGTTTTGTACCGCTCTCTCTTCTCTCTTTGGATCAGTTGATCACTTCTCCACATGTAAATAAATCTCTGTCGTTCGTTCGGGCACTTCTTCTCGCTGAATTGTTGGACGATGGATCCTGCGACGGGACCAGCTACCGAAAACGAGACAGGCAGGACCCGGAGTCCTAGCAACTGGATGGCAGTGGCGGGATGCCGATAACCCCGAAAGCGACCACTGGACAGAGTGAGCCCGAAGTCCAACAACGGGACGACAGGAGAAGCATGACACGAGCTCATCGACTTCCAGAGGGAATCGAACGGCACTTCTGAGAGGCACGACGCCGGAGACATGACTGCGAACTGGGTGAGTGCCGGCTTTCTCTGTTAAATTTTACCAGGCATTTACTCTATGTGTTAAGTAAAAGCTGGTAGAGAGGGGCTGTCTTAGTCATTGAGTTAACAGGTAACTTGCGTCAGGCAGAAATTGTGTGATAGCTTGGTTAAAATTTTCTGTCAGTGGCGTCAAGGTTAACAGTGGCAGGGCAGGATTCCATATAAGAGCTTTTTGATGCTTTATTTGTAGACTAAGTTAACGGAAAACTTGAGGCAAGGCAGGAACCTAGAGCTGTCGTTGCCGTCAAGGTTAATTAGTTGCAGGACAGGAATCTTTGTGGAACAGAGACGGTGGTACTGGAGGCAGCCATGAATCTGAAATCCCTGCGAAAGTCCATGTTGTTGCTACTTGCAAGGGAGTTGAATCTGGAGGTGTCGGACTCTCAAAGAAAGCCAGAGCTGATAGAGGCGATTCTCGCATTGGGGGCGGAGGATGACGAGCTGTCAGAATGTGTCGAGGAGATTCAGGAGAGGCAAGCGGCAGAGGCCGAAAGAAAAGCGGCGGAGGCCGAAAGGAAAGCGGCAGAAGCCGAGGCAGATAAGATGCGAAAGCACGAGCTTGAAATGAAGCGCCTCGAGCTAGAGATTAGCCATAATAGTAGAGCAGGAGGCAGCGAGGCATCCGGTACCGCAGAGCGGGTCAGGTTCAAAATGACGGACCTAATGAGATCGTACAAGCTAGGGGAGGACATTGGGCTGTTCCTCGTCAACTTTGAGAGAACTTGTGAAAGGCAAGGTTTCAGCCAGGATACATGGCCTCAACGCTTGTTGTCCCTACTTCCGGGAGAGGCCTCAGAAGTAATCGCGCGCCTCACAAAAGAGGAGGCTGACGAGTACAGTGAGGTAAAGTCGAGCCTTCTCAAGAAATACAGGTTGTCAGCGGAAGGTTTCAGACAAAAATTTCGCAACGCTGTAAAAGAGAACAATGATTCATACCCGGAGTTTGCTTACAAGTTAATGGCCAACATGGGGGAGTGGCTCAAAGAGGCAAAGGCGTATGGGAATCATGACAAGGTGCTCGAGTGTATTGGTCTAGAACAATTCTATCAAAGGTTAACAGAAAAGGTGAGGTTCTGGGTGCAGGATAGACCGGACGTGAACACCGTAACGAAAGCCGCAGAGCTCGCTGAAGAATTCGTTACGCGCCGCGCCCTCGGGGCAAACAGCGAGCCTAAAAGGGAAAAATTCCTACTACCGAATAAGGCGCCGTTTAGAAAACAACCGACAAGTCTCGCACAAAAGGGTGAGGAAAACAGAGCATCTAACCATGGGGCGTCGGCAGAGGCAAGCAAAAAGAAATTTGAGGCAAAAAAAAACCGGCGGCTTGTTTCAATTGCCACGAAACAGGGCACTTCGCGAAATATTGCCCAAAAGAAAAGGTGGTCTTTTTATCTATAAACGAAGCCGACGAGAACATGAAGTGGTTAGAGCCCTATATGTACGACCTTACCGTGAACGGCAAGCAGTGTCGGATTCTTAGAGACTCCGCAGCCACTATGAACGTAGTTCATCCGTCCTTTGTTCAGTCCGGACAGTATTCAGGAGACTGTGCCTGGATTAGACAAGCTGTAGAAGCAAACAGTCAGTGCCTTCCCGTAGCTAAAGTTGTCCTTAAAGGCGCATTTGGTACGTTGGAAACGGAAGCCGCGGTATCGCCATATCTACCCCCTCAGTATCCTTACTTATTTTCAAATAAGTCAGATCAAATGCTGAAGGAGAAAGGTCTAACGTTGGGAGAAGGCATAGTGAAGGCACTGACTAGATCGAAGGCACGTGCGCTGGCTGCGAGAGCAACATTCACTGAGGCAAACAAGCCTCAAATCGACAACGGGCCTGATTGCGAGTTGGACACCACGGTAACAAATCGACTTGTGCGAGAACAGGCTGCAGAAGCCGTAGTCGCGGAGGCAACCATTCCTAAAGGCGACGATGAACCTCCTCCCGAATCGGAAGGGGTCAATTGCGCCTCGTTGACCGAGC